ATATTAGAACTAGAATGGCTATTGCTAAAGACAAGAAGACTAGAGATACTTAAAACAAGACTAAGAATAAAAAGACATTAACAAGAGTGAATAAGACTTCACTCTTACCACTACATATACTATCTAATTAAGAACTATGTGGCGATGATTTATATGAATTCCAACACATATCCAACTTGCAAGACATGTGTCTAACTTGCAACATAAGTTTCTTATATTTACACTACATGGCCAAGTTGTTGGCCAAGTTTTCAATCTATCAATCACCTATAAATACATATGAAGCCAAATCCACATCTTTGAAGCTTCTAAGAAGTGTTTCCATATATTATTATAAAATATACTTATATTTATCTTTTATATTATATTTCTTATCTAAGTAATTATATATGTTCGTGACAAGTTTATTATTTATTATTAGAAGTATAAAATATATTTATTATATTATATTGATAAAAGATTTAAAGTTAAAATATTATTATAAATAAACAAAAGAACAAGTAAATTTGAATTTTATGTAACATTTGGCAAGTGGCTTGATATTGTGGAATTTTAGTATATTCTAATAATTTATTTTATTTATGGATTTTAAATGATAATTATTAATTTATATTTTTTATAAATTATATTTATTTTATATTTAAGAATAATATTTACATATATTACTTGAGTGTAAAGTAAAATAAATTTATCATATATAATTTGTAATTAAATTATAGGATTTGAATATTTTATTAAGATATTTTGTCAATTATTTATTATACATGTTGATAATTTTAGATTTAAAAAAAAATTGAGGTGATTTTTTTTGTTGAAGAAGATTTATTTTTTTAGAGAGATAATGATGTATTTTACTTAAAATAGTAACATATGAAGGAAACAATAAAAGCATAAGTATAAAAAAATATCTCAAATTATAATAGAAATTAATATATATATATATATATATATATATATATATATATATATATCTATATATATATATATTATTTTTGGCAAACTAGTGGTCATATGAGAGTTGTGATGACTTAGTATGATAAGTACTAATAGTTGAGGATATTTTTATTTAAATTAGTAAGTATAATACATATAATCTATAAGTAAAAATTTAAGATGAAGGAAATTGTAAGATTGTATATAAAATTGAGTTAAATAAAAAAATGAGTCCCATTTACAATATTTTTATTGTTAAAACCAAAAATATAGAAAGAAATAAACAATATTAGAGGTTTTTCTTATCAAAATTTGTAACAAAAACTTATGTGGTAGTTAATTGATTATGTATAAGATAAAGTTTAGTTGGATGTTTTTTAGAAGTTTTATTCAATAAAAAAGTAGGTGCATTTAAGAAACTTTATATATGATTTTACATTGTTGTTTTGAATTGTTTAGAATATATTTTTGAAAGATTATTCTAATTACATAATAGAATTTGTATGGTACATTTTTTTAGGAAAAAGTCATATATAAATTAGAATTAAGATCTAGCATTAATAATGCCTGAATTAAAGTTTTAGATTAAAATTATGTTATTGATTTAACTACCTAATTACTCATAACAATGATGGAATAAAGTTTAGGCTTTTATAAAGTGAAATATTTTTGACATTAGAAAAATCCAATTCACTAGTAGAAAATTATAAAAAACCAAATAGGTATTAAGAATAAAAGGGACATTTTTTAAAAATTAATTGAAATTTAAAATGTTGTTATGATGTAGCAAGTGATATGCTTTTAAAGAATTCTTCCAAAACATTTGAAAACGAAACATTTGATATTTTTGATGTTGTAACATGTGATGAAATAAAAGGTAGTGTTAAATTCTATATGATAGATTGATATATACAAATAGAAAAGAGAATTTTGAATATTATGGATTAGTAAAGCATCTAATACAAAGATTAGAGGACTTGCATCACATAAAAATTAGAGAATTGAATGCTTTTAAATTATTAATAGATATGATAAGTTTTGACATTATAAAATCTATAAAGATAGCATGTAAATTATTTAGACAAGTTTACAAAATAATGTGGTTGAGACTTTTGTATACAATTAAAAAGATGGATGCTTAATATAATAATTTTTTTTGAAAGGTGAGCATTTTAGTTAATTTTTTGCATCTCAACTTATTAACATATTATTTACAATGAAAGGTAATGCCAATTGAAGTAGTGAGGCTTTTGTTATAATAATAAAAAAATAAATTATATATGGAATTAGAATTATTGCAAATAATTTCAAATAAAGTATTACAAAAAAAAATTATCTTTCATTTTTTTTTTTATGAATGTTGAGCATCAAATTGAAAAATAAATGTATTACTTGTATAATATGTACATTGCACATTGTGATCTAAAGCCTGCCAATATTATTTAGACAAAAATTATAGTTAAGATTATTTGACATACTATTATAAAAAAAATTCTTTTGGAATATCAAAAATTAAAGTTGGAAGCTATTCAAAAAATATAAAGAATAAATATCCTTATACTATTATTGCATACATAATTCTTGAGGTATTAAACACAAAATTTCAAACAATAATAATATGTCGTTTTAAAGTGGATGTTTATTTATTTGCAATGTTTTAAGATTCTTCCACTAAGAGATTTTTATTATGATATTTTTATAATAAAAAAGATATTAAAAAGAATTATAAAAGATATAAAATTAAGCTTACTTTAAAATTTTGATGAATTAAGTGAGCTTATCAAAGAATGTTAGAGCTTAAATCGCTTATTGCAATCAAAATTTGGAAACACTTGTGAAAGATTGAATTTATTAAAATATAAGTTTTAAATTAAAATTAGTGTGATAAATACATCATATTTTGGAGCATCAAAATATGGAATTTCAGCAAGATTATAATATTGGTAAGACTTATATTAAAAACTATACAAATTATATATTCAAGAAATTGAATTAATTTTATTTTTTATTTGTACATATTTTTCTATGCCATATAGATTTAAATGCTTTATTATATGCAAAAGTTGATAAAATTAGATTAAAATATAAAATATATATTATTTTAATTTTAATTTTTAATTTTAATTATAGTTAAATTTCTGATTATAAGTTAATTTATGATGATTGATGTTATAAATTTCTAATTATAGTTAATTTCTAAATATAAATTAATTTAATGAAAAAAAAAATATTTGATAGAATATAATATTTATCATAAATAAGTCAAATTTATGAAAATAAAGTAAAGACTTGTGTCTTATTAGAATGGATGGAATAGTTAATACCACAATAGGAAATACCACATTAAATAATGTGAAGCATATATATGATGCTTTATACTTTTTTGAGTGCATTGAAAGTAGTGGTGATTGCTATACAATTTCTTGCAATATTTTAGATCAACTTAAAGTCAAACAAAACCAAAGAATATAAAATATGCTCAAGAAATATTAAAACCATTCTTTAATAAGAAAAAAATCATCTTAGTATTTGACAATGTGAAGAATCAAAGTCAAATTAAAGATATTACATTATAAA